CCGGCTGTCCCCTCCGGCCCGTGCCCGTTGGCAGTGGCTCCGGCCGGGAGCTTGGGTGAGGTAGAGAGGACGGCGTCCCTGCCGTCCCAGGAGCCCTGCCTTCGGCCCCCGGACTTGCTACTACTCGGGCTGCTGGTACCAGATGGGCCCTGAGAGGCCTTGAGGGCTGGGGGAAAAGGCTGCAGGGAGGCCGGCTTCTTCTTCTTCCCAGGCTCATCTGGGACGGGGGGCGCGTGTGTGGGTGTCTGGGAAAACTTGGGGGAAGGGGACCCCATGGGTGGCCTTGGAGGGGTGTATCCGTTCTGTGACTTCAGGGCAGGCACACAGCCATTCCTGGAAACAGGTATGCCGACTTCTTCGGGGGTCGGGAGCTTTTTCACCGTCCCCGAGTCTTGTCGCTAAAAGAGAACAAAGCGGAAGACACCGTCAGAGCCTCTGAGGACCCGCCTCCAGGAGCCCGAGCGAGCAGCAGGCCCGCCCTGACTAGCACATCACTTGTGTGGACATGCGGCAAAGACGCTGCAGCCCAGTGAACCGTCGTCCTCTGGGACTCGTGCCTGGTAAGTGTCTCTGTGACAAGCGTTCCTAGGAAAGCGGAATCTTCTCTTTTTAAATTTGGGTTTTTGTCATAAGTTGTGCGTGCTCGCCAGAAAGAGACAGAGACAGAAAGAGAGGGAAAGGGAGAAACCATCCTCCAGGGGGATGACCACGCCACAGTCCTCCGTCCTCCTTTAGGAATTTTAGGCATTCGATCACATGCACGCAGCAGGATTTTCAAGCCACTGGGTCTAGGACTTGAATCGTGCACGTGCGATCTAGAACCTTAACCTCCATGCCACCTGCTGGCCCGTTTTCTCTATTCACGATGAGACGCTCATGTGTACTCCCGGCATAGCTCAGGCTGGCCGAGCTAGGGATTCGAACCAGGGTCACCATGTGCAGTCTATGGTCTCCTGAGCCGTAAGGCAACACTGCCACCCCACAGAGCTGGCTCAGTCTCATAACACGACAGTTTACCCCGTACTAAAGGCCCCTAGAAGGATTCCGTCTTCCCCAAGCACTCTGGACAAGCCCTCTCATCCGTGAGCTGCTCACATACACGCTGGCTCTTACACAACGTTTAAGGGAAGATGACCATTACCTAACTTTTTTGGGGGGTTTTTTGGGCAACGATCCTTGTAATGAAGATACTCACGGGAACGAAACCATTCAGGTGCGCCTGACATAGGCAGACACTCCCCATGGGCCCACTGCCCCCTGGGACCCAGCACTCTGTCCCAGGCCGGCCTGCAGCAAAGGGGTCTAACTGCCCGGTCTAGGCTACAGCAATCACCAACTTTTCAGTCACGGTGTGCATTTAATTGCTGCACCAGTTCCAATGCTTCCCATTCCAGCTTCCATTTTCTCAAATGCTGGGAGGACAATCTGGATTTACATACAGGACTGAAACCCAGGTGGACATGCGAGGCCAAGTAGAGGCTCGCTCAGCAATAACCCCGAGAGGGCCGATCAGCTGCGTTGTAAGGAGGAAACTGCCTGTCGTTGTACTAGTAACACGGAGTTACCTGTGTTAGCAGAAATGGAAATACGCACGAAGATAACTTGGAGGTATTTCTAATTACTGAGACTTCACCACGGAAGCTTCACTCGGCGTGTACACCCGCATGCCTTTCTGTTCCTAGACGGTACGAGTAGACCCCGGGCATGACACCCTGGTCCCTGGATGCGCCTGTGCGTGTTTCCTAAGGACACAGCTCGTCTGTGCCTGCAGTGTGACTACCAAGTCGGGGCCTCACACCACCACACGCCGCCTGCACTCTGTGTTAGGACGTACGGCTCCCCAGGCGGCAAACAGACTGCACGTGGGCCTGACCCGGCCCTGCTGGTGCCGAGGCTCGAGTGGGCAGGATGCCCCTGGGTTACAGTGCTGGTTCGCTGCCAGGCTTCCTCGTTACTGCCCTTCCCTGTGCCTAATTCCAGCTGGGGACGGCCACGGTCTCAATGCCTGCATGCCGTGGCCGGGTGCCTCATACAGAGCTGAGTGGGGCCCTGCGAACCCAGAGAGCAGGTGGGAGCAGGGAGACGAGGTGCACCGTGGGCAGGGGGGACAGTACCTTCCCGGGCAGTGGAGAGGAGGCGATCCCGTTGCCAATGCTCTTCCTGATGGGATCTGGAGCCACGCCCGGGCGGCTGGCAAGGGAGGAGCCGGGCCTGGAGACGGCACTCTCGGAGCTTTTCCTAGAGCCTGGAATTCTAGCAAAGGGAAGGCACAGTCATGAGAGTTCTCTCTCTCTTTTTTTTTTTTTTTAAAGAATTTAATTTTATTTATTCTTTTTAAAATTTATTTTAATTTGACCAGGGAGGGACAGAGTGAGAAAGAGAGAAAGTGAGAAAACAAGCCACCAGGTCCAGGACTCGAACCACAGTCAGCCCTGTGGGAGTCCAGCACCTTTAACCACTACACCAGCTGCGAAGCCTGAGAATTTTCTTAGGAAAGCTAAAGACATTGCGGAAATTGAAGGTGAGACCAAGTCAGAGTAAGCTGAAGTCAAGGTTACAAATATATTTTTTCAAAAGGCAGGGGCAGGGACTAGCAAGTGGCATAATGGTTATGTCACTGGACTTCCACGTAGTCGACTACAGTTTGAGTCCTGGACCTGACAGCTTACAACTCACACAAGGTGTGCATGTATACATGGCCAAAATCCCGAGAAGAGAATGGAGATGGGATTGTGGCATGGCTATTCCCCCTGGGGGGTGACTTCTTGTTTGCTGTCTCTCTGGTGAGCACAAATATGCCCTATAGCAAAAATCTCTCTTGGAAAAAAAAAAAAAAAAAGACCAATAGTTAGCGGAATGGCTATGTTGCTGGACTCCCATGCAGATGACCGCGGTTCGAGTCCCAGACCTGGAGGCTTAAACTCACGCCAGGCGTGTGTGCGTGCGTGCCCAAGATCCCGAGAGGAGAATGGAGGAGAAGGATTGTGGCGTGACCATCCACCCAGGGGGGTGATTTCTTGCTTTCTATCTCTCTACCTTCTGGTGAGGGAACATGCCCTATAGCAAAATCTCTCTCTCAAAAAAAAAAAAGCAAGGACAGAGACCAGCAGATGGCATAATGATTACATGCCTGGACTCCCACATGGCTGGCCAGGGTTCGAATCCTGGAGGCATAAAGAAGGGACTGCAGCATGGCCATCCTCCCGGGGGTGACTCTCACTTTCTGTCTGTCTGTCTGTCTATCTCCAGTGAGCACACATGCCCTATAGCAAAAATCTCTCTTTAAAAAAAAGGGGAGGGCAGGGCAGAGGGCCAGCAGATGGCATGGTGGTCAAGGCACAGGGTGCTACATGCTGACCATGCTCAAGTCCCAGTCCTAGGGGCTTGAAAAAATCACGCTGCGTGTTATGCGTGTGTGCCCAAAATCCCACGAGGAGAATGAAAGAGAGGGGGCTGCAGCGTGGCCGTCCTCCCTGGGGGTGACTTCTCACTTGTCACTTTGTCACTTTCCCTCTCTGTGTCTCGCTGGTAAGCACACGCACCCCAAGGCAAAAACCTTAAAAAAAAAAAAAAGAAAAAAAGAAAAGGCTGGGCAGAGGCAGACTCAGCCCAAGGGAGCCCTGACTATGCCGTGCCACTCTGCCCTGCAGCCCGAGTGCAGCTGTCACGTGACACGAGCAGTCGGGGTCCCTCCAGGTTCTCAACGCGCCAGAAAGCCAGAGGCCCTCGAAGGCTTCATCTAAATTCGGCAGAGTTGTAGGAAACAGCGAAAGTGCCTCGGTGGCCACATCCTCCCACCTCCAGGGCAGGGACAAAAAGCCCTCAGGAGAGGCCCCCTTGTGAGGGAGTGCCACTGCGGCCCCCCACTTCCTTCCTTCCTGGGAAATCGCTCGTCCAGAGCAAGGTGCCTCGGGGCTGCAACGGATCCTCGACAACGCTGTGAGGTAACAGGCGACTCTCCATTTACAGTCAAAGTAGCATCGACGTGGGGGCAGAAGGACCCGGGCTTGGCCACCAGGTGACTCGGTCTAGAAAGGGCCCCTCAGGGGACACTCTCTCTTACACGCCTGGAGAGGCACAACCTACCCTCACATTTCCCTCCTGCAGAATGCCAACACCGAGACAGGAAAGGGCTAGGAGACCCCCGGGCAAGAACAGAACAGGAGAGAGCTCGTGTGTCTGGGAGGCGGGCGTCCATTACCGCAGGTAGAAGAGCACGTAGGCCTGCTGGTTGAGAACCACCTTGACGTTGCTGGAATGCACCAAGGAGTCGTTCATCTGGTACCACTGGCCGCTGCTCGCCTGGACAGCACAGGGTGGCAGGAAACAGAACCACAAGCAAGTGTTGGTAACCGCACTCGAAACGGCCCGCCGGCTGCTGTCAGCGGCTGCAGGCTCTAATGAACCGCCGCGATTTCCTCAAAGCGGGCAGAATCTGCACACTCTGAGTGCTGCCAACGGATGGGACCAGTCCTCCCTGGGCCGCAGGCAGGTCTGATGTCAGCACACCGCCTCCCATCCACACGGGGTCCCCCAGGTCTCTCCTGGGCTCCAAGCTCCAAGCGCCAGAGGCTGCAATCTTGCCAGTGTCTCACTGCACGGCCAGGAGTAACAAGATTCCGGTGGGACTTTACTTCAATGGTTTTCTGAGCCCATGTCCCCAGAAGGGCTTCTCTGAAGATTTCATCTCACTCCACGCATGGAGACAGCCACCCAGCCCTGCCAGTTTGCACACAGTAAGGCGTCTGCAGGGCCGAATGCAGGCAGAGCCGCTCACCTTCACGTAGCAGTAATAGTGCCCTGCGTGGCAGCTGTAGCCCGAGTGCACCAGGACAGCATACAACCCGTACATGACAGGTTCGCCGCTGCTCTGAGACATGTACGGACGGATGTTCAGGAACTCTGGGTAGCCTACATCCTGTGGGAAAAGTCAAGGAAAATGCACATGAAATTCACCTCGTATTGCAGTTTTCATCTTGCAGGGCTAACTGGTGGTGTAGTGGTTAAGGCAGCTGGATTCCATGCCTGACTACATGGTTCAAGTCCCAGACTGGGCTGCTTCGAAAACACACCTGCACACGTGTGCCCCAATGCCCAGAAGAGGCTGGAAGGGAGGGGACGACGGCATGGCCAGGCCCCTGGGAGGTGCTTTCTAACTCTCCTCTCTCCCTCAGGTGAGCATATGCACCCCATGCCCCCCACCAAAAAGGAAAATCCTTCAAAGACAGGCACTTCTGCCTGTAATTTTTTAAATCGAGGTCTGACTTACAGAGCATTTACATGTGGCTCTCAGGGGTGCAGCTTCAGTGCCCCCACCTCGGATGCCTGCTGCTCTGATCTCTGTTGCTGCAGACTGGTTTGGCCTGCTCCTGTACGTCACGTAATTAGGATCCTAGAGCACGTGTAGTTTGTGTCTGGCTTCTTCAGGTCAGTGTCTGAGACTGGCCTGTGCCGCTTCCCTTCGGCTGACGAACTCAGACTCTCAAAAGCCAACATATGCACAGGTTCATGAGCCAGCCCACCTTGCTAGACATGGGCCCAGAGCACGCAGACTGACGTTTCCCAAACCGTGTTCCCCTGGGAACTAGTCAGAGCTCCGGATGTTAACAGGGATGCATGCTCCTCAGGGCCGAAGGGCGACCCTGCCCACCGCGGCCGGCCGGCGCCTCTCACGGCAGAGCGTGCACAGCCAGCAGCAGTAGGAGTACATGGCTGACTCCTCAGGCGAGCACGGTTACAGAAATCCTTCACGCCAAACTCCACAGCTTTAAAATGCAATGTGAATTCAGAGAGGCTGGGAAAAGGTCTGCGACTAAAAAGCTATTTAGCTTGGCTTTCCCCAAACTCAGTCAAGGACAGAGTGCTCTCTTCTAAAGCACGATGTTTTCAGGGCTTTCTGGGTGTTGCTGCTGGCTTGCCGCAGGCACGTGAGCTCATCGGCGAGAGGCAGAGGGAACGGTCACACTGCAATCCCTTCTCCATTCCTCCCTGCTTTGGAGGTCTGGGGCGATGCACGCAGACTCCCAGTATGCCTTTCAAATTGTCAGGTCTGGGACTTGAACCACGCGGTTGGTCAGGAGGGATCCAGCTCCCTTAATCGGGCTGGTCCCCACAGAACACGGACACTCTGCAGACACTCAGGACAGCTGATCCCAGTGGCCCCTGGCACTCCAGTGAGGAAAATGAGGCTTCGTCCAGAGCTCTTCCCAAACCAGGCACACACAGAACTCTAGACTTCACGAGTGACAGATCATCTCTTACTGCCGTCACGCAGAAAGGCGATTTCTGCCTCACATCCCACAGGCGGCCACGCACGCTGCCGCAGCGGGCTAGACCCGGAACAGAACATGGCCGAGCAGGCTGCACAGTCCCAGGTTGCACCCACTCTCACGTAAGAAAACTATGACCTGCCACACTGGGAATACCCAAGTATAGACAGAGATGGGGCAGGGGATCCAGTAGGGCAGTGGCTCTCCACCCTGACCATGCACACGATCCTTCAGGGATTGATTGATTCATTGATATATAGTATCTGCTTTTTTTTTTTTAAGAGAGAGATTTTTGCTATAGGGCATGGGCACTAGCCAAAGAGAGAAACAAAGGGACAAAAAACAAGAAATCACCCTCCAGGATGGATGGCCACACCATAACCCCTTCTCAGTTCTCCTCTCGAGCCTTTGGGCATGTACACACACACACGCCCAGGGTGAGTTTTAAGCCACCGGGTCCAAGACTTGAACCACAGTCACCTATGCAGGACTCCAGCAACACAGACATGCTGCACTCTGCTGGTCCCTCGGGGATTTTGCACAAGTGCAGATGCCCGGGCTTTGTCCTCCAGAGACCCACCCTCGCCAGCTCTGGGCAGGGCCAGGAACATGCACCTGTATAAAGCAGCCCTGGTTCTGGACAGACCACACGGCGATGGGCACACTCACCTTGGTGATCTTCCCGCCACTGAAGTTGGCAAAACGCTTCAGGGAGAGAGTTAGGACATTGGAAGTCCTGTGGATGGTGAAGCGCTTGCTGGCTGGAACCTTCTTCTTGCACCTAGGAAGGGGGTGAAGAGAAATTCTTAGTTTATACTCTGAGATGAGCTGTCTTCACCCTCAGTTAATAACAGCAACTGCGGGACCAGCAGACGGCATAATGATTACATCGCTGGACTTCCACGTGGTCGGCCGCAGTTTGAGTCCTAGACCTGGCGGCTTAAAACTCAGGCTGGGTACGAGTGTGTGCGTGGCCAACATCCCGATAGGAAAATGGAGAAGAAGGGACTGCAGCGAGGCCATCCCCCCAGGTGTGATTTATCACTATCTCTGTCTAACAGCTCATGTGCCCTATAGCAAAAATCTCAAAATAAATAACTTTTAAAAATTACAGTAACTGTTCTATACTACTGAAGTCTTCTCAACTGGGTTTCATGCTTCCTATGAAGATTAAATAACGTGACTTTAGGAGCCGGCAGGTGGAGTGGTGGTTAAAGGCGCTGGACTCCCACATGGCTGACCATATTTCAAGTCCCAGACTTAAAGGCCTGCTTCCTCACTCTCTCTGGAAATATTAAAAAAAATAATAAGAAAAGTTAAACAAAATCATTCTTTTTTTTTTGAGAAGCTTTTGCTATAGGGTGCGAGCGCTCGACAGAAAGACAGAGAGAGACAGAGAGATAGAAAGCAAGAAATGACCCCCCAGGGGGGATGGCAACACCAAAA